GGCCACATCGGTCAGGAGCTCCTTTTTCACCTCCCCCCTGACAGTCATACCGGAGGCGATCATGATGGAGTCAGCTGAGGGGAACCCATCTGGAATCCGAGACACTCGGATCAGCATGGAGGCAGGGGGCGGGGCAGCGTAAGAGGGAGAAGAGTGAGAAGAGAAGGCAGGGCGCAGGGAACCCCCTCGTGAGCTTTTGGTGTCTGTCCCTTCGCAGATGTGACTGGAGGATTCATGGGTTTTGCTCTTTTGGATTTAAAACTTGTGACTATGTTCATGTCATAAAGTTGGCTGCCTTGTGTTCCATTACATGAATGGTCACCATCTAGCTGACCAGCCCCCTCCTGCCACTGGGCACACAGGCTGTTCCACGGCTGAGCCACCATGAACAGTGGTCATGTGTCACACGTGTCCTGTGTCCATCCTGGTGACGTGTAGTTTCAGGGAGGGATGGACCTGGAGTCAGCACCCACAGTATGTCAGACTCTCTGCAGTGCGACTGTTCCCACAGCACCAACCTCATTGTCCTCTTCAGTTTCAGAGTAAAGATAATCACGGTCCCTTCATGACAGATATTGGACCTGGGACACATTCTCGGGCGTTCCTGACAGAGCTGTGGCCAGTGGAGAGGCCCACACCGGAGCCGCCAGCTCCTGGGGCCCCAAGTCCATCCCATTGGGTCCCGGGGATCATGTTCTTGGAGGGTGGGGGGCAACAGTGCGCACAGCAACTGAGCACGCTCAGTTTATGGTTCCCGTCTGAAGGCTGAGGTTCCCACTGAGCGCCCCTCCCTTAAGGACCCCCTGCCCCCACACGTGCAGACAGCCCACACCCTGGGGGCTACAGCCCTGCTCTCTGCTCCAAGCCTCCCGAAGTGTGGCCCTGATTAGGGGGGTTGCATTCACTGGTTTCCATCCGTTCAGACATTGTTACGACTGTCAGGGTAGCTGAGAGCTTACAGAAAATGGACAAGATGCAAAGATTATTCTGACAACAGACTCCTTCTGGGGACAGTGCAAACCCTCGTGTCCAAGGTTAGGGTGACGGGCTCTGCGGGACATGCAGCCCTGGCCCTCAGTTACCAGTCCCACCCCAGCATCCCTCCGTCCTGGACGGCACGCACACCTGCATCCTGTACTCCCCTCGGACCTGCCGGGCCGTCCTGCCTCCCCTGCTCTCCAGGAGTTGAAGAGAGCGCTGGGGGCACTCAGGTGCGGCTGTGAGAGGATGCTCTTAGTGACATGTCACCATGAGAGCTGCCTCTCTTGAGGGCAACTAAGTGCACACTGATGACACCTTTTCTGTGATATCACATGAGTGCCCAGGACAGAGCACTGAAGAACCTTGTCCTTTATGCGACCACAGACACTCAGAGCCTTTGCTGGTTTAAGTGACATCAGCCCCCCACCTGCCCAGGTAACCGGGCACCGAGCGGCAGAGCCCCCCAGTGCCGAACCACCTGGCTGCACTGGGGCATCCACGAACCTCTTTCCCTGCCTTGTCAGGCCCTGTGGGACCCACTGGGGGTGACTAGAGGGACATGGATGGAGGGTGACCCCACCCACTGCTCAGGGAGAAACCAACTCGGGTTTCCCATGGTGGCATTGGGCTTTGAGTTATTCTCATTATGTTAATGAAACTTCTGAAAATCAGACTTTCACAGTCCTTACTTAGAGGAGCCAGATGGATCACGTAGCCACCTCCCACGTAGAGCGCCCAGTGCTGGTAGCCAACACGGAAAATCTCAATCAGGTCTCCAGGATTGTATTCGCTACTGAACTGTAAGAGAAAATGCCAGAAGGGTGTACACAGATTTCTAGGCCCCAGCAAAGGCCCTGCCTGGTGAGTTGCTGCTTGGCCTGGAGACCCCTGGCTGGTGCTCATCACCTGGTGAGGGTGTGCGGAGCACCGGTTTGCGCTGGTTTACAGACTGAGGCTCAGAGAGGGGGCAGGGAGTGCAGGGAGCACCTGGAGGGAAAGCAGCTGCACTGGGTCTTCTCTGCCCCGGGCCTCCCAGTCCCTGCGTCCCCGCCCCCTCCCCTCCCACTGCTCCTTCCTGGGCCCCAGTGCACTGCCCAGGGAGTGGCCGTTTCGACACTGGAGAATATTTCAGATTTACTTTCCTTTTCTGCCTGACCTCAGCAAATAGCAGCCCCGCCACAGTCCTCACCCCAGGACGCCCGATCTGAGGCCAGGGGTCCGCTTCCCTTTGCCCTCCTTCCTGCCAACACCCAACACCGGTGTTGACCCTGGAAGTTTCTCCTGATTCACGTCCTTGCTCATCTCTTCACAGATGACTTGGTTCAGGGCCTCCCGGTTCCCCATTATGTGACCCTCATGGTGTCCTGAGCAGCCCCCTGCCTCCTGTGCCTCTCCCTCCCCCTCCAGTCTCCCCAAGACCCACTGTGGCTTCCCACAGGGCCCACCTGGAAATGACCTTTGTCTGGCCTCAGAACTCAGGCTGGCCCGTGGGCAGCTCTCAGGCCCCTCAGGCCGACCCCTCCTGGCCCCCCGGCCCTCCCAGCACACACACCCCCCGGGCCACTGCGGCCTTGCCTTCCCTCCAGGCAGCTCACTCCCACCTCTGCCCCTCTGCACACACATGTGCTTCTCTGTCCTCCTCTCCCCCCCCCCGCCCCCACCCCCACGCCTTCTCTCCCCCCATCAGACAGACACCCCTCCTCTGAGAAGCTGCCCTGAGGGCCCCAGCCTGGCTCAGCTGACACTGTCTGGGTCCCCAGGCCCCGGGGACCTGCACCTCTCCCCACAAGGACCACGTGGCACTGCAGGTCCCTGTGCCTGTCTGCACCCCTCTGGGCCTTGAGCTCCAGTCAGGGAGGCCCCTGTGTGCTGGACCCTCCCTCCCTGCATCTCCAGGATCCCCCCCCAACACCCCCTCTATAGGGGCTTGGTCTGCAGTAGGAGGGAAGGAAGTGTGTGAGGAGGAAGAAAGTGGGGCTGTCAGCAGGGCCATTATTCCCCAGCTCCTCCCTCTCTGTGCCCAGGGCAGGGCGGGCCCAGCGCCGGCTCCATCTGGGGGGGGCAGGAGCGGATTTCTCACTTGGAAATTAAATGTCTAACCAAGGCCAGGCCTGGGCACTGTCCACATAGTCCAGGGCAGATGAAAGGCTCTCTCTGCCAAGCCAGACCACTTTCCGAATTGTACTACTCAAAATAATCTTCCTTTAGAGAAGCAGAAGTCTGCAGCTCAGCATTCCCGGTCCCAGTTCAACTCCAAGCAACTGTCAGGAGTCTGTGTGCACCTGCCTGAGTCCTCGCAGGGCCTGCGTCTCTCCTCTGGACCTGCCTTTACTGAAGCTGTCAGTTCACTAGTGTGTCTGCATGCCTGTCCCGGCAGGGCCCCACCGTCCCGCCAGCTCTGCCAGGGTCTTCTGTGGGGGAGGGGCGCTGAGCACGTTTCCACCTGACCTTCAGGCCCAGAGACTTCCAGACCTGCAGACAGACCTCCAGGCAGACCTCATGTTCCTCGGTCCACGCCAATTTTAAAAGCTCTGCTCATTGGTTCCCAGGCGACTGCACGTCGGGCTCTTCCTTTGGTGCATTAGTGTCTGCCAGTTTGTCAGCCTCTCAGTGTCCTCGACCCTCTTTTGGCTGCCATCTTTAGTCAGGGCAAGAGTTTCCCTGCCACGCTCAAGCACACACGTATCTGTTTGTTCAGGGTGGAGCTTCGGGACCCGGCAGCTGAGGCAGGCGCTGTATGAGCTCTTGCCCTGCAGGCCGCTGTGTCATGAGTCAACCTACCAGGTGTCAAGAGTCACTGGCTTGTTCATCATCAGGTGCACAGTCTGCCCCACAGCAGCCTTCCTCTGCAGCTGCTCCTCCAGAGAGCACGGGCTGTTAATCTGCCTTTGTTGTGCAATGTGCCTTGAGTGCTGTGCTTTCTACTCTGGGCATGCTTCCCAGCCCTCCTGCCTTTCTGCAGAATTTGGGGGGATAGGGGAGGTTCCCCTGTTTTCAGGGACCTCTGTTTCGACCTACCTGGGTTCAGAAAGATGTCCAGCATCAGGTGGCGGCTGGCCCAAAGGGCTCTGGCCACCGGGGCAGAGGGGCATTAGCTAACTGACCCCACTGTCCTTCTCCAGAATGGAGGGCATATGCTGAGGGAGGCCCAGGCCCGGAGGGAGCAAGACCGCGAGGGCTGTGAGGCCGCTGGTGGGCAGAGATGCTGCAGTGCGTCCTGAGTCAGCTGTAGTCCAGTCTCAGCTCCAGTCCCCTGTCTCCTGACAAGGAAGCTCTTTGTGTGCCCCACAGCAGTATGCTAAGGGCCCTCCCCACTCCCCCCCCACCCTCCCTGCCTGTCCAGTTGGCCTGGGATGCTACCGCCCACAGGGGGCGTCAGATGAGGGACTCTGATTTGGGGCTTCGGGTCGGGGAGCGCACTGGTGCCTTAAAAAGGCCTGTCCGCACCCAGACAGTCGTGGGCTTGGGCTTCCATTTGGTCTAGAACCTGTGCTCCCGGACTGCGGTCCAGGGTGTTAGGTCAGAGTCGGAGTCGCTCAAGAAACCAGACGGGACGCAGTGAGCAGGGTTTATTAGCGGGGAATGAGAGAGAAAGTGGGGCCAACCTAGGGAGGTTGGGACTTGCTTGGCTGTTCTTGGGGCAGGAATTTTAAGCACAAACTCCCACAAAGGGTAAGTGGTTGGGTGCTGTTCCTGCTGATCACTGTTCTTGATCCGTCCTGTCTGGCTCAAGGTGAAGCTGCATCCTGTGATGCCGGATGGGCAGACCCCAGACCCCAGTCTCAGCCAGGCCTCTGGTTGTCCTGGGCGGGGTCGGCAGGCAGGCATTTTCTCACCATACGGTTTTCCTCCTGGTGATTTTCCATTCCTCCTAGGCCTGCCTAGGTGTGTCTCGGAGGCGGAGAGGGGTTGGTCTCTGCCACACCTCTGGCCCCGGGGGCTCACAGTTTCCAGCTGGGGTGGGGAGCGTGCCTCTGAGGACAGGTTCGTTGAGTTCCATCGGCTTTGACGTTGGTGGGAATGCTGGTATGTTCTGGTAAGTCCCTGTTTTCGGGGCTCCTTGGGGGTTCCTCCCTCCTCAGGGACGCTTCCGCTTTGGCGTCTGCCCCTCCATCCTGCCTGGCCTGACCCCAGCCTCACCCGATGCTGATGGTCCCTCCCTTCTCCTCTTCCTCCTGGCGTGTCCCCTGGCCCTGCTTGAAGAAGGAGCAGAGTTTATGTGAACTTTGATTTTATTTCATTTAGAAAAATTATCTATTATCATTATTAGTTTGCAATACATGCTAAATCTAAATATCACAAATATGAATTTCCTCTTACTCAAACATGAATCAATGAATGAATCATAACCCCTCAGGTACCCGGCAAATGTCTTACGTCAGCTGATCCATGCTTTAAATACAGGTGTCTGATCCTGGGCAGGGCACAAAGAAGACGAAATTCTCCGTGGACGGATGGCTTCAGTAAGTCCCCAGAAAGCTCTTACTTTAAATGCTGTGACTCCGTTCGTGGTGACTGCGTGGGGTTCCTTGTCAGTCTGCAGTGCAGGCACAGGGGCCTGGGGTGGGAGGTGGGGCACGGGTAGGGGGCTAGGAGGGCTCCCCAGGGCCTTCCTGAGGGGGTGAGAATGGTGGGCTCAGGCAGGGCAGCCCCTGCCCCCTGCCCAGGCCCACCTCCTCAGTCACACTGTCCCGGGTGGGTGGGTCAGCTAGGACGGAGGGACCAGGGAGATGGAGCAGAGCGGCGTGGGGCCGAGCGGGGGCTGCCAAGAAGGCGCCCTTGTCCACCCCCATCTCCGAAGACCTTCTCTCTTTTCCCCTTGCCTTTTCCGTCCGCCCCTCCCTTCCCCTTCCACTTTTGGCTCCTTCCCTCTGGCTCCCCAACGGTCCCACTTCCTGAGCGCTCACTACAACCCCACACCATGGGAAGGGCTTTGGTTTAATCTTCCCAACAGACCCTCCAGGCAGACCCTGTGTTTCTCGCTGGGCTCCAATTTTAAAAATTTGTTTCAGAATTTCCTGTGGGTCTGAGCATCTGGCTCTTCCTAGGGGGCATTCGTGTCTGCCCGTTTGGTCAGCTTCCCGGTGTCTTGGAACGGCTTCCGGTTGCCATCTTTAGTCAGGGCAAGAGTGTCCCAGCCCTGGGCTTCCCTCCACTTTACAGACAAGGGCACTGAACTCTGGTAAAGTGACTCCCTTTCTCAGAGATAGAGGGGTATTTGAACTTAGGTGAGTCTTACGCCGGAGCCTTTACTTAAAACATAATAATTCCTTTAATTCCATAAGAAACATGTGCATACATTTTCTTTATTAAACATACACACATACACACACCCCAAACCCAGAGGGAAACTGTTAACATGAAGGCTAAAGTCCCCTTGCACCACCACTGTGTCCCAGATGGCCCCTCCCTGTTCCCTAGGGCTTTGGCCCCGCCCCCTTCCCTAGGGCTTGGTGTTTCTCCTTCCAGATATTCCCTACTCATTTGCATATGCAGCATATAGCCTCCTTTTAAGTGTTGTTGTGTGGCTTTGGGTTTTACAGTTAGTTCATTTAGGAAATGCTTGAATCTTTTCTTTTATATATGAGTTTTCGAATTACTATGGTGATTCTTTTACATCCTCCAAAGGTGACTAATGAATTTTTTAAAATATCATTATGAACACACTGATATCACTTTCCTACGTTTGATGTGTTTCTTTTGGATGTGTTTCAAACTGTCACATCCCTGGACAGGTTGATGCTTGGCTCCTGTGGTCAGAAGCTTTCCTCTCAGCCCCGTCTCCCCAGCAGACTTCCAGCTGGCGCCATCCTCACCTCACCCAGCAGCAGCCCAATGCCCTGGTCGGGGTGGTCCGACCCATTTGACCAGGCTCAGCTTAAGCAGGGGGCTGGCTGATCTCTCAGCGACCCTAAAATAAATCTTTTGTGATATGGGCGTATCTCAAATTGGGAGTGTGGCCAGGGCAATGTGCTTCCTGCTCACACAGACTGTGGAAAGGTGCTACTAACTCCAGTCTCGCCCTGTGATCCCCGCCTGGGACTCGGCCCGGAGCTCAGCCCCCCGACTGCCTGGGATGCTCGGTACTGTGAAGGGCTACTGTGAAGGGCGTATCATTGGGAACACATAGACCTAGGTGTCAGTCTCGCTCTTCTCCTCAGTGGGTGAGGGTCTCTCTGGCAAGTTACCCAACGTTCCTGAGACTCACTGTTCTCGTCTGTCAACCGGGTTATGTGAGCCCTGAGTCACAGGAGTGTTGGATGTGGGCCATGTTGAGCGCTGTGCCTGGGCTTTGGCAGTCGGAGCTCCGTAACTCACAGAATCACTCAGGCCTGGCACAAGGAGGGCGGTCTTAATGAGGCATTTTTGTTTGTTTGTTTGTTTGTTTGATTGTTTGCTTAGTTAATTTGTTTATTTATTATTTATTTATTTGAGTCCCGAAGGTGGTTAGGGAGAGGAGGGGAGAGAGAGAGAGGAAGAGGAGCATCCGTTGGTTGCCTCTCACACACGCCCTGACCGGGGACCAAACCTGCAAACCCTTGGTCCACGGGACGACACTCCAACCAACACAGCCACACCGGCCAGGGCCCTTTAGGAGGCATTTAGACACCCTGAGAATCATGCACTCACTCGCTGACACAAACATGCTCTGGCATGAGATGTGCACACCTCTCAGCCACACCCCCGTGCTGCACACCTGCCCACACGGCCCCTCTGCACCCCCTCCCCCCATCTCTTCCTTGTGCCCTGAAGAGCTCATTTCCAGCCCCGCAGCCCCAGTGAGGGAGGGACGTTCCACCTGTGCGAGGAGAGCGCCCTCCTCCGGTTCCTGCAGGAGATGGTCAGAGGGAGTCTGCAGGGTGGGCTGGTGCTCCGAACAGGTCAAGTTCTAGGGCGCTCCCTGCTAGGGCTGACCTCAGCCTGTCTGGATTTTCTGTCGCAGGCCAAACCAAGACTTGGAGACCTGATTGAGATTTCCCGTGATGGTTTCCAGCACTGGGCCATCTATGTGGGAGATGGCTACGTGGTCCATGTGGTTCCTCTGGGTAAGGACTGTGAAAGCACAATTTTCAAAAGTTTTGTTAACACAATGAGAATAATTCTAAGCCGAATGCCACCATGGGAAACCCTAGTTGGTTTCTCTCTGAGCAGTGGGTGGGCTCACCCTCCATCCATGTCCCTCTGAGTCACCCCAGTGGGTCGGTCCCACAGGGCCTGACATGGCAGGGAAAGAGGTTTGTGGGTGCCCCAGTGGAGAAGAGAACACGGCTGCAGCCCCCGGGACCTGGGCTGTGTCTGCATGTGGAGGGAGGGGGGTTCTTAAGGGAGGGGGGCTCAGTTCAACCCTTGGCCTTCAGACTGGAACCAGAAACTGAGCGTGCTCACTTCCTTTGCCTCCTGGCTCACCACCCACCCCACCTAGAACGTGACACCCGGACCCAGTGGGATGGACTGGGGGCCCCAGCAGCTGGCGGCTCCTGTGTGGGCCTCTCCACTGGCCACAGCGCTGTCAGGAACACCCGAGAATGTGTCTCAGGTCCAATATTGATTATCTGAGGGTGGATCCAACAATTGGAATTTATTTATAAAAGAGATGTATTTATTCTTACATGTGCAAACTTCAGTCATCTTGAAAGTACTCTCTGCTGGATGCAGCACAACCACCAAGACCTTTCCACTGCTCAGACCTGCTTTTCACTCGTTGATTCTGATGCCTTTTAGTGCTGCTGTCGCTTTTTTTGTGTCACTTCTCCCACATCAGCAAAACACGACACTTTTAGGAACTTTTTCCACCCAGGGAAACAAAAAAGTTGCTTGGGGAGAGATCGGGTAAACAGGAAGGGTGGAGCACGGGGCTCATGCGGTTTTTGGTCAAACACGGTGGGCGCTCAAATGGCTCTGACCTCTTCCGGAAATACACAAGGGCCCCGAGAGGAACCGAGAACAAACGCGGTTTCCAGTCCTTGTTCACGGTGGCTGAGCTGGGGCACAGCCAACATGCTCATTAACGGGAGGGGGCTGGTCAGCTGGTTGGGGACCATTCACGTAACAGAACACAAGGCAGCCACTGGCCACCCCAGCACGAACACCATGAAAACACATCACAGCTTGTTACGTCAAAGGAGCAAAATCTGTGACTCCCCCAGTCACATCTGGGAAGGGACAGACACCAAGAGCTCAGTAGCCGGCTCCCTTCACTCTTCCTTCTGGTCTTACCCTCTCTTCAGTAACCCAGTACCCCCCCCCCACTGCAGTGCCTTATCCCAGTGTCTCCGATTCCAGGTGAGTCCCCGGGGGCAGGGACGGGCTCCTCCAGCGTCAGCTCTGGCTCCGTTATGAGCAACACCGCGGAGGTGAAAAGGGATCTGCTAACTGATGTGGCAGGGAGCTGCACACTTAAGGTCAACAACCAGTTGGACAAGGAGCTAAAACCACTGCCTGTGGAGCAGATTCTCAGGCGTGCACAGAGGATGGTTGGCAAGAAGATGCCGTATGATATTGCCACTAACAATTGTGAGCACTTTGTCACCAAACTGAGATATGGTGTGCCCAGATCCCTGCAGGTAAGACCCTCTCTGGGGTGGTCCCTTTCCCTCCTGGAGGTCTGCGTCAGGTGGGGGCGACCAGGCGGTGCACCCAGAGGGAATAGTTACCCTGAAAGATGCAAAAGCGGGCTCTGGGGGATCCCCTCTAGCAGGGAGGCAGGACATCTGAGAGCCCTTCTCAGATCTGCTTCTAATCTTCCCAGGGTCTTTGCACAGGCCACTCCTCTCTGGGCCTCGGTTTCCCCATTTGTAGAAGAAGAGGTGGTTGGAGGACATCTGGGGCACTGGCCAGCTCTGTCTCTTCAGGGTCCTTCACCTGCAAGACCCCATTAAAGGCAGCCCCTGGGGGGTCAGGGAACATCTGGGCCCACCCAGCTCCATGGCAGGTCACCTTTTCTAAGGCCCCAGAGAGCACTGGGGCAGGAGGTGCCCAGTCAGTGGGCCCACATGCCAGATCAAGGACACCTTTGTGTCCCACCTGGTCACAGCTTTAACCCTTCCCCCTCCCTCTCTTCCGTGTGTTGTCCCAACACACCCAGCTAGTGAGGGGGCAGGAGCAGGATTCAAACCCCCAGTTGCCCTGCTCTTCACTGCTGAACCACAGCACCCCCCAGGGAATGGGGGGCCCCAAGACTGGGTGGGTGGGGGCCTGGGAGAGAGTGGGGACAGGAAGGGCAGGTGTGCAGGGGGTAAGGGTTCCATGCTGAGGTAGGGTGTGTGTGGCCAGTCGGAGGTCCAGGCGAGCATGTTGAGCAGCAGATGGACATGTGAGTCTGGAGGTCAAGGCTGAGGGGGCCTGGAGGGCCAAGTTTGCAGGCTGCACTTGTGAACAGTCCACAGTGTGGCCATGGTTTCCCAGGGTCTCCCCTCAGCCTCTCCCACAAGCATCTCCCTGCAGGGGCGGCCCCAGGGAGAGCCCAGACCACACAGCCGTTCCCACCTTGACCCCAGAGCTCTGGGCCCAGGACCCCAGGCACAAAGCCTCCTCCCCACCCACCCAGGCCGGGAACACACGGCCTCCCCCAGGGAGTGCACACAGAGGACTCCATCAGCCCCTCCTGCCGGTGGGCAGGACAAATCCAGACAAGCCCACACTGAGAAGTGGTCACCACTTCTGTTTCCCAGGGAATGGGGCCAGCATCCTGTGTGGGAGAGGACCCTGGGTTCGCCTTGGGAGGGAGGGAGGACCTGCCTGGCTGGGCCTTGGGTTCTGACATGGGCTGCCCACTTTCAGGTTGAAAACGCCGCAATGGGAGCAGGGCTGGTGTCAGCCTTAGGTGCGGCTGCTATTGGAGCAGCCACCCTTGCTAATTCTATAATGAGGAACTGATCCCCACACCAGTGACAGCCTGAAGAAGCCACAGGATCCTGCCCTCGAAGTCACTGAGCAGTGGAGCGCGCCAACCTCCCTTGTCTCCCTGACCCCGGCTCCCGGGCAGCCCCCAGTTCTGTCCCTCGCTCTCCCTCTCACTGACTGAAGGATGGAATAATTGTACCAAGGCCTAGAATGAATAAATGTATCTGCCTTTCCCTTCACAGAGGAATTCCACTGTGTGTTGTGTAGACTTCTAAACCATATGGGAGGAGGTTCAGCGCCTGTTGGGGACACCAGCAAGGGCTGGCCATGTGGCCCTGGGTGACGCTCCTGACTCCCAGGCCTCAGGTCCTTCTCTCCCAGATGGGCCGGGGTCCCTGTCCCAGTGACAGCGTGAGGGTCGGGTGAGACTGTGGGTGGGAGACCCCTGTCCCTGTCTGGTCTGCAGCAGGAGCTCAGAGGACCGTCCCCGAGGGTCTGTACAGACCGACCCTTGTTCCCACTGGACATTACTCCTTTCACTCTCAGGGGGGCAGAACACGAACACGAGATTCTCCCCACACCACCATCCCCCCCGTGGAGTCCCGCCCTCTGGTACCTGGGGCCCCTCAGAAGGCATGACCCTCCCCCCAGTGACCTCCCTCAGGCAGCCCCCCTGGTAGAAAGTGCTGCTTTTCTCTTTGAACTCAGGGGCCTCCTCCTCACCACCTGTGATAGCAGAGGGAATGCTCTCATCTCTGGGCGCCCCCCTTGCCGAGGCTCCAGCTGCCCCCCGGGGGGAATGCTGAAGACCCCCACCCCCACACTGAGGGCAGGACACCTCTCTGTGGGACACTGGGATGGGGGTGCCTGGGGTCACAATTGGCCCAAACTCGTAGAATGCGCAACAGCGAGAGTGGCCCCTGAGGTAGACTAAGGACCTGGCTTATGATGCTGTGTCACTGCAGGCTCAGCGACTGTGACAACAGTGTCCCCTCCGGGGGGCTGTGGACAGCGGGGAGGCTGTGCATGAGTGGGGGTCGGGGGGGACAGGACATCTCTGTACCTTCCCTTGGTTTTTCTGTGAGCCTAGAACTGCTCTAAAAAGTAAGTCTTTTTTAATAAGGTAACAGAAATGATATATTTGACTTTACAAAAATTTGGTTTTCTTTATGGCAAAATATTCTCATTATTCTCTTGTGTATTCCCAAATACTCACTCAGTTTCTTTGATCAGATCTACTCAATCATTTAAAAATATTCCCTTTCTCCTCATAATATGATTCATATGTCCAATCGCTTCGTTCATATAAATATATATTAAATATACCTATTTTATAATCTGTGTCCAATAATGCCAATATGGAAAGGTTTTGTGAGTCCCATTCCACTCTGTTTTTCTCCTACCGTCTCTCTCAGTGGCTTGTTTCTTGTTTTGGTTTCCTTTTGCCTGTTAGCTTTTACATTTTTGATGTGATCATGTATTTCTTGAACTTTTCTGAGAAAGTTCTCCTGTAGAGAAGACTTACATTTGCATCAGCAGCTGTCAAAGGGACCACATTCATTTTATCATAATGATTATTATTTATCTCTAAAGAAGGACTTTTTTTCCATTGCTTTCAGCGAGAGGGGAAGGGAGAGAGGGAAGGAGAGAGAGAAAAATCAAAGCGAGGGAAAAGCAGTGACCTGCTGCCTCCTTCCTGCGCCTGGACCGGGACTGTGTGCATCCCAGCTGGGGAGCCTCACACGCCCCAGCCAGGAAGTGATCCCACAACCTGGGGTGTGGCCAGACAGGGAATGAAACCCACCACATTTTGGTTATAGAATGAGATTCCATCCAACTGAGCTTACCAGTTGGGGCAGCACAGTCATTTTAGACGACGTATTTTTTTTTCTTTTTAAAAATGTCTATGGAATTTATGGGGGTGACGCTGGTCAATAAAATTATATCGGTTTCAGGTGTACCGCTCTACAACACATCATCTGTGTGTTGCATTGTCTGTTCACCACCCAACATCATCTCCTACTGTTACAGGGTGCAGCCAAGAGGGGGCCCCAAATAGGGATTTGTAATGGGGTCCAGAACTCAGGGTGTCCAAGAAATATTAGAAAAATATATATATGATGTCCTCACCCTCCACCAGTCTGAGCTGAGGGATGGGACACATGGAGTAGGGCCATGGAGAGCTGTTTGGTACAGCAACAGCTTTGCAGCTAACCTCTGGCGTGGTCATTTACAATATCTGTAACCTTTAGCTGGTTTCACAGATATGTTAAACAGCTGTGGCCATGCTTTGAGCCAGGGAGATGGAAGTGAGTTCTACCCAAGATGTAACTGGGAGGCAACTGCCCCTGGTTATAGAGCCTGTGTGACAGCTTGCAGATGATTGTCTCCACACCACACGACCATGCCTGCCCGGACTTACTATGGCAGCCAGTAAAGCTGGAGGAATGAGGGAATGTTGGCAGGTGTGACTGGTTGTGGGAGGAGTCAGAAATGGGGCTGCAGAGGAAGATTAGGGTGGGCATTTAAACCCAGGGTCAGCAGCCATACAAGAGGGACCACACAGCTTTGGCAGAGTAGGTTAGGACCATGAACCATTGGGGTGCTCATTTTTCCACGTGGCTTAGGCAGCAGGAGAGACTTTGCCTGGAAGAAAGGGGAGAAAGGACTCTTGCTGGTGGGCCATGAGAAGGTGCCACATGGCTCTGGATTAACTGGAGATTGTGGTGGCGACACAGGGGGTGGTGCCGGAACTGAGGGGCTGCAGTAACCACAGACCTCTGCTTCTTTGCCTGAGATACTGTACCCTGGACTGGGCAAAGGGGAGAAGAAAGAACTGTGTGGATCTCTGGGTATTCTACAGAATTTTGGTAATTTAGTGAAGACATTAAGTCATTACTCTAAGTCTGTATAACTTTTAAATAAAGAATTCCTTCCCTTTTCACCAATCTCTGGCATTGAGAGATGTCTTTCCTCTGGCAGTGGTCAAAGCGAAGCTAGTAGATAGGGGGGAACCCTTGTTGAAAAGGGGGGATCCTTCTGGTAATAGTATATTGTTCACTCCACCCGGATCTCTTCTGTAACACTACCATCACCATTTATCCCCCTTTACCCTCTCTTTACCTTCCCCCCCTCCCTTCCCCTCTGGTCACCACCCTCTGCACTCCAGCCCTGCCCAGCCTTTCCCCTCTGACAGCGGTCAGTCTGTTCTCTCTGTGGGCGTCAGATTCTACTTTGTTTGTGTTGCTCATTACATTCCACATGTGAGTGAAATCGTGGTATTTGTTTCCTCTGACCAGCTCATCTCACTTGGCTTAATGCTCTGCAGGACCATCCATGCTGTCCCAAAAGGGAAGATTTCTTTCTTTTTTATTCCCAGTTGGTATTCCATTGTGCAAATATACCACAGCTTTTTATCTACTCATCTACTGATGGGCACTGGGGCTGTTTCTAAAACTCAGCTATTCTGAATAACATTGCGATGAACATAGAGGTGCAAAAACATAAATCTTTTAAAAATTAACCACCTCAGGCCTCGCCAGGTGGCTCAGTGGGTTGCAGGGTAGTCCCATCACCAAGAGGTCTTGGGTTTGATTCCTGAGCAAGGCATGTCCCTAGGTTGTGATTTTGATCCCCGGTCCAGGCATGTACAGGAGGCAATTGATTGATGTTTCTGTCTCACATCAATGTTTCTCTTTCTCCCCCTCCCTTTCTCTCACTCTTAAAAACAAAATCAATAAATATATGCTCGGACAAGGATTAAGAAAAAAATTCACCATGCAGAATTACCCTCTGCTACTTCCTAGCCCTGGGTGGGGTCTCAGAAGCGCCGGGTCCCCAAGTTCTCCCCCTTCCTCCCAATCCTCTGCCACCAGTGACCCTACTGAGTGGCCAGTCCATCTGGCTATTGTCTATAGCCACCACCACAGCCACCACCACTCTGACTTGGGAATTCGGGCGTCACCTCCCCTGGCTGTACCTGCCCACACAGGAGGAAGCTGGCGGGCCCTTGACCCCCTCCCTGCAAGAGAGACCAGGCTGGACCCTCGCACAGGGCTCCCCTGGAGGCTCAGGCTCTCAGAGGCTGAGGGACAAGCGAGGAACCCGTCCACGCTGCTACCAAAGGGGGCCCTGTGCCCACTCCCAGGCTGAGATGTCAGCCTCCATGTGGGGGTTCCAGAAGGGCCCGTGCTTGGCTGGTTGCTGCCAGGCTCCCTCCAGCTCAGGGGCCCAGCTCTGTGAGGCCCAACAAGCAGGAGGCTGAGTCGCAGGAGGAGGCTTCTCACCTGGTGCAGTCTAAGGCTCCCCCCAACAGGAGAGGGAGCTTGGGGGGTCAGATCCTGTGAGTGTGGTGACCTCCAGCCTCTAATTCCAGGGAGCAAATCTCCCTGGGACAAGACCCAGGCTGTCAGCAGCTCTGGAGGGACCAAAGGTCAGTGCCAGCTCCACCCCACCCCCAAGTGCCCCAGTAGCAGGGGTGCTGAATGGTGGAGGTCGTTCACCCATTACCCCCTCCAAGTGAACCTGCCTCTGAGGTCAAGCCTAAGATGCATCGGCAGAGCTGATTGGCCTAGTGAGGTCACCTGACCCATCAGCTATCAGTTACCACCCTGAGCCAGGCTGCAGTGAGCTGAGCCAGTCAGAGTCTCTCTCAGGAACTTGAACAGGGACCAGGCACTGCAGGCCTTGCGGGACATGCAGCTGAGCTGTTGTAGGAGGACAAGGCCCAGCATGGTGGGGGCCATAATGGTACTGATTGTTTCTGGAACCGAGAGACACAGAGTAACAGGAGGAACGGCGAGCCTCAGTCACAGGGTCTGGGTCACGTGCATGGCCAAGACTCTTCCTCTCAGTTCCAGCTGCTGAGGTCCTGGCCCCTGGCAGGGCAGTGCTTCCTGGTCTTGTCCACCCCAGGTGTGTCTGCCCGGCCCCTCCTGCATCCTCAGGCCATAAAAAGAGCATTCACCCCTCCCCCCGCCCACAGAGATACCTGAGAAAAGCACTGAATGGCCCCAGGGCTCGGAGCAGGCAAGCAGGCTGCCCCACTGCCCTTGGCATCATCGGGTATAGGATGAGCTGTGGAAGGGCCTGGCCACCCTGCCTGGCTTCAACCTCAAAGACAGGGCAGACCTGAGCTTGGGGGACTATGAAGCATCCCTGGGAGCTGGCTTTCTCCTTTCTAAACCAGAGGACATGAGTTCTTCTCATGGACCATGGGCGTTCAGATGTCCCTGCAAGA